GTTGCCGCCCATTTGGGAGACGGCGATTTGTCCTCTGCCCTTTGGCCCGGACGTATTTTGACGTATTGGAATATCCCCGTCAAGATGATTTAGGTTATTCCGTGGGCCCCATGTGCCGATGAGCCGCTACCCATTTTGGGGTGCGAGAAACTCATTCTCTGTTCGATTGTTTAGCACGAGCTTTGAAGCATTGGGACTGTTCTCACGGAATAACCTTCCTTTGGTTGCCTATACCCTATGTCTGTGATAATATGAATCGAAACTCCTTTTATCGAGAGTATTGTTGACCTCACTTTTGGTTGAGGTCTAGAAATTAACCAGTAGGAACACGTTCCTCTGGGAGTGTTATTGACCCCAGAACAGGTACATACGCCTGACTCTCTCGCTCTCTGATATTGATTTAAGGTGTCTCCACCCGATCTTGTTTGGGCGGATATTCTTAACCTATCCTTGCGAGGTTTATCGCATGTAGACTCTCTACGTTTTACATTTTCTCTTGTTTTTCTCTTTGTCGTATGTCTCTTCTCATTTGATTTCTCTCCGCTTTGAATCATTTATATGGTTCGGGAGGGAGATTTATTCGAATGGAAAAAGTATACGACGATCGATAAGCTGACGACTCCTTTTAAAATAAAAAAGAGAAAAATGATACGTCAGATGCACTAACCCCATTTTTTTTTTACTTCACCACTAGCCCGCTCTTGGAGAAAAAAACATTTTGTCTTGTCTTATATACAATCTTCATAGAAATCCAAATCAACTGGATTTAAACACTGAAGGCTTTTTAAAAAAAGTAGGAATTTCATACATTTCTCACTTATATGACCAAGCATACGGTATCGCAGACCTGCATCCACCCTGATTTCAACCACATAATTGAAATCAGTCATTTCATTGATCAAATAAAGGGTGTCTTTAATGCTGCACCGAGTCGTCACTAATGCCCCCTGGTCACCTTTCAAAAATCACATATGAAAATAGTACAAGTCCTGATTTTGCCAGCTGACCCACATACATGAGATTTCTATTCAAATTAGGAATATGTCTGACTTCAGTAAACTTCCAAACTGCTCAATTCAGCAACTTGATATAAACATCACCCCTTCCTACTATACTGCAGGCTTTATTATCTCTCAAATAAACCTTCCCTAGATTACTCTGAGTGTAGTTTTTAAATAACTGTTTATTAGGGCAAGCATGAAAAGAGGCACCTGAATCCACTATCCAGAATCCAGTACTTACTAGGGTAAAACTAGAAAGTCATTTTGAATTTCACCAGTGGAGACATTAGTAAAAAAACTACAATCTTGCCCTCCACCATCAGCTTTCCTAAAGCTTTGCAGTCCTTAAAACGCCCCTTCCTACCACAATTCCAACATTCTCCTCTGCTTGACTTGGGTTTTCTTTTCTTAGACTTAGATCCATTTCTGCCTATATTCCTATCCAGATTTCTTCCCCTGTTATCAGCATTCAACGCATAACCTGAATACTCACCATTCACTGTTTTTTATGAACTTCTTCATTCAGCATCAGACCCAAAATATCATAGAAGCTCAACTTCGAAGTCCCTGAAGAATTACTCGTCGTCGTTACCAAACCATCCCAGCTGTCCAATAATGAAGATAGTATCACAAGTGCTCTGACCTCATCATCAAACTTGATCCCCAAATAACACAATCGGCTCGTTACACTCCGCCACTAAATTGTCATCCACCATCTTCATGCGGAATAATTTCTTCATCAGAAAAACCTTATTGGAAGCAAAGGTGCCCAAGGGAGGTACAGGCAAAGGCGCCCCCTTCTCTGTAAGCGCCTAAACATGGGCGCAAAGGTGCCCATAAGGGGGCAAAGGTGCCCCCTTCAGAAGCAGCACCCAAATGGTGGGCGTTTGAGGGCCCAAGCCTGGCGATTGGGCGTCGGATTCTCGATCTTCTCTGGGTGCTTCGGCTCCACAAGACTAACATGCATTAATCGGCATATTGGTCGAGGATGATGAGATGGTTGATTGGAGATAAGCCTTCATCGATTACTTTCAAGAGCAATCTCTCTAGTAATATGCCTCTTGATCATCAGATCAAAGAAAGAACCTTACTCTCTGATTGATGGCACTTTGTATGGTCGGTCATTTGACCAGATGTTATTATGTTGCCTCAACAAGCATGAAGCCCAGAAGGTGACAATCGAGATACAAGTCGGTTGTGTGGTGCTCACTATTTCGGACCCAAAATGAAAGTAAAAATAAAGTGATTAGGGTACTACAATCTGTCGATAATAGAAGAAAGCATAAGTATTACACATCGTTGTCATCAATGTCTGGTATATGATGTAGTTTTGCACCAACTGCCTTTTTTTCATCTAACTAAAGCCTCATAACTTTTCAAGACTTGAGGTACGGGCACCTTCTTGTGGGAGCGGTGCAAGCAGAGCGTGAGTTGCAGTTGCAATTTGTATTTGAGAGCAGGAAAAAAAAACTAAATGCATGGGGGACACGCCTCAATCTAATTGAGGAAAGTGAGGCATACACCTTACCGAAGCTATTTGAGGCACACGCCCCAACACATCTTTTCCCTGAATTGCGTTGAGGTGTGAATTACGCAATTTTAAATAATGGTGACCATTATGGGTCCCATGTCATCATCATAACTATGACTATGTTGGTCGTAATATTGATGTTATATTAACTATATCAGGTCGAATGAAACTGGCATCCATACCTATTTGCATCAAAAGTAGAGTTTCTCAAATGTATGGCCATGTAACTTTCACACTCATGCTTTCCACTCACAAAAAGGAAACCTTCTAATTGCGTTTCTTAAATTGTAGAGTTATGATGATTATAAATCTTCAGCACTTCCTTGGTTTATCGATTTTTTTTTTCGGTGGATACTGATAACATTCACAAGAGGTGAGCTTACCTGAGCCAAAATGATTGGACCTCCCTGCGATGCAAAGAACTTATGCCGCTTCATTGTGTTCACTATATATGTCATAAAGCTCTGCATATGACTCTGCAGTAACAAACAGGAAAAACCTAGAAAAAACATGTACCGAAACCAACAAAAACCGCCGGAAGTTTTTAAAAAAAAAAGTACAAGAAAACTGCACAAACACTTAACTTCGCACCTTGAACTGCTCGCTATTCGATCGAAAGACAACACCAGGAATGTAATGCAGCCAAACAGGAATCCCTCTGCAAAATCACGAAACCAGATTATTATCAACCATCTCGGTAAGTTCCATACATCAAAAAGAGAAGCAAAGAACTCGGTTCACACCCGAAATTCCACTCAGCAGCGACAAATGGCCCGACTCGGAGAATCAGATACATCCCCGCATCCTTAACAATATTCACAAACTTCACGAGGTCGAAACGGTCTTCGAAAGAATACTAAACAGGTAGCTTGTACTTTAAAATCAGCAATCAAAAAAGAGAAATAGGTATCAGAAGAGCTCGATTAGGTAAGAACTCGTCTCACATTTCCTGGAGAAAGCTCATGACCGTTCCAGAACACGTAAGTCTCGATCACGTCAGCGCCTCCCTCCTTCGCAGACCGGACAAGGCCCGGCCACATCTTATCAAAGAGCACAGTTAGCATGATTCAAAGAAGAAAATTAGAAGCAGTAGGTGAGAATAATTCTTACAGAGGGGACACTGCGGGGATAGTGGATGGAGGCAGAAATGAGGAGGCGGCGGCGTCCGTCAATAATGAGAGAACGATGGTCGTAAGTGACATTCTCTGCCGAAGTGGAAGTGAGCAAGAAGAAGAATGATAAGAGAAGAAGAAGGCAGAAAGTGGTCATCTCGACTGCCATTGACGAGCTCTCGAAGGGGAACGGAGTGTTCAGTGTAGGGGGAAGAGCGAGGCTCACAGCTGGCATCTTCTGGTGGGGCATTTGTCGGCACGCGGAACCAATACCCGACCCGTTAAGCCGACTATTATTTTGATGAGGTTTTCACGAACATGGCCCGCAATTTTTATGTATTTACATATCCGATACTTAATAATTATTTTTTTTATATTTATGTCATCTAAATCATTAATATCACATCAATTATTGATAGAATATAGAAAAGAAATGGGAGAAAGTGTTGCAACTTTATTTTTCATGAATGAATAGTTATAAACAATGAAGCTAACTATATATAGGCGTGAATATGTTATAAACAATGAAGCTAACTATATATAGGCGTGAAGTGTAAACGAGTTGAACACGAGCAAGCCCAGGCTCAGCTCGTGTTCGATTCGTTTATATTTCGAGCTCAACAAGTGTGTTCTTGTTCGACTCGTTTATTTAACTAGTCGTTCACGAACAAAGAGTCGTTTTGATAACCC